TGATAATTATTCACCCCTTCTGACAACCGGCTTATGTTCGTTTGTGGACTCCAGTAAGAGTTTGAAAGCTCAGGTGAATATAGAAACGATTCCGGCAATGGACCGGCCCCCTTCTACCCTGCTAATAAATGTTGTTGCTTCAATCTTCACCCTCTCCCCTGCCGTCCGAGCTGCTTCATCTTCCGAAATACTTTTTTTCACGTTAGTCCGGGGATAAAAAATATTGGGTCGCTAGACTATTCACCAGACTAAGCGAACTCAGTGACCCGACCCGACCGCAATCCAATTTAATGGCCTATCCGTAGTATTTCTAACTCCCTTGACTCATTGCATTTATTGTTTGACTTCAGCTACTCTAAGTGTTCCCTTCCACCCCACCCATTAACCTGAACCTCTTGTGATTTAAGTATTCCGAGTCCGCGTTTAGACTCGTTTAGACACTTTTTTCTATCAGTGGAGATTATTCTTTTGGGTGTTTGTATCATTTTATGCCTCGAGATGCCTGTTCGGCTTTAATTCAGTACACCGTCGCCTAAGTTTTAATCTCAAGCCTGGTATAACCGCTGCTACTTTTCCATGCCTCGTTTCCACTTTAGTAAGTGTCTTGGGCAGGACTGTTTTTAGATGTCCTTTTTGTCTTTGACTTATAAAAATAACCTGGTATTACATTTTCAATGACCCGACTTTGCCTTTTTTTGTTAAATTCCGCCAACATAAGGTTGCAATTCCCTGAAGCGGCGTAAGTATTATGAGCAGCAGGAGTTTATATTTATGGAATTGATTCTATTTAGCTCATTAAAACATCTATAAGTCACTTTAATTTAATATTCTTTGGTCACTTCTACCACTATTAAATATGCATTTACACTCACTAACCAAGAATCAAATGTTTGACCAAGAAATATGTTGCCAATTGGGTGGATGGAATAGATATTTAAGGGACCATGCAAGACAGTTTTTCCCTATCCTGATAACAGCTTGAGGACTAAGACCTCTAAATAGTGTCCTTGTCTTGTTGACGTGACGTTTAATTGATTCCGTATGGCACTCTGAACAGTTCTGTTCTGCCGTGCTTTATGCAGGTCCCTAACCCGTTTTTAATACCTGAATTTGGTCTTTCGAACTGACTTTTCATGTATTCGACCAGCTAAGTCTGTATTGTCGATCAGCAGAAAGTATACTTTCATAGTTAATGTGGAGGAAAAACCGCTTTCTTCGTGGGTGTTCTCCCGACCGACTAGTGTGCACGTGCTACCACAAAGCTATGCAAAAATGCCTAAATGTGCCCTGACACGTTCAGATTTAACGCCAACGCTACGGCCAAACACTGTCGCCTGTGGTGAATCACGTACCCTACCACTTGCGCATTTAAACCAGCCCATTTGTTTCTCTCATTGCGGTGTCACACGAGGTGTCCGCGGGTGTGCAACTGCCGATCCATGCACAGAATAGCCACTGTGCACACCTTTCGCCAAGTGTGACTTAACTCCCTGGTTCGGACCTTCCCCTTATGATTTTACCTGGATCATAAGCTCTAGCCGCTTTGGAGGAGAGAACCAGTACTCAACCAGACACTCTCTGTGCTTTAGGCGGACCGAAGAGGACTGACGAAGTGGATGCAATGCCCCCAAAAGTGAACTATGCCACTGATGCTACTACGCCTGCACTTGCGACGCCATGCTACGACTTTATCGATATAGCTAATCTCGCTCCCTCCAATCCGGCCTGCGCATGGTGTGACAGTCATGACTACCTTCATCAGCTCGATTTGCCCGCCTACCTCATTTCGCCATGCTACCATTGTCGCGAAAGCCTGGCACGAGAGGCCAAGATTTCACCTGAAGACCTGCTCGATTTGCACCTCCAGGTTTGTACATCCTTTTCCTTCTATTTGCACACATACAGTATGGACCAAAATTCGCGTAACTCCGTCAAGTCTGCTTGAAAACCCTTGTAGCTCGGAAAGCGTTAACCCAACGGACCCGAAAATTATACTGCGTAAAAAGGAAAAAAATAAATCCTTAAAAGGAGGTATATTTCAGTGTATAAAGCATTATTTATCATCTAAGAACTAATTTGTTTTACCGAAAACTATTGAGGTTAGTGTAATTATGAGATAGCGCATTATTTTTTGGAAAAAAAGAGAGCAAAATAAGTTCAAAAATTCTGTTTTTCAAATCTGCCAAGTTTTTTGCCATAAAATTGGCACAATTATGGCCGGTTGTGCAAAAGGAGAACCTGTTTATGTCCCCGCATTCCTATCGTACCATCTGATACTACGTTCAATTTCTGACGACTTCAATTTCCACTGAAGGTTTGCTTTGCTATGTCCATCAACAAGTC